CTTATGTATGGAGATGATACTATCATATTGGAAGAAATTAACAATGATTTGGAACGACTTCTGATGGAAGTTGAAAGAGAAAAGTGCCAAAGCAGGACTGCATTTGAACATCAAGATGGCAAAAATCATGACTACGAAAGAAATACAAAATATTAACATAGACAAGGAAGACATTGAAGTTGTTCAAGATTTTGCTTACCTTAATTCAGTCATCAATTCAAATGGAGCTGCTGCCAAGAAACCAAGAGAAGGCTGAGACTTGGAAGCACAGCAATGGGAGAATTAGGAAGATCATTAAGAACAAAGATGTGTTAATAGAGACCAAAGCCAAGATCATCCACACCCTCATATTCCCAATTAGTGTGTACAGATGCGAAAGTTGGACAGTGAAGAAGGCTGATAGGAAAAAAATTGATTCATTTGAAATGTGATGTTGGAGGAGAGTTCTACTGATACTCTGGACTGCCAGAAAGAGTAACAGGCGATTCTAGAGCAGATTAAACCTGAAACATCACTGGAGACAAAAATGATAAAACTGAAGCTGTCCTACTTTGGGCACATCATTAGAAGACTGGGTTCTTTGGAAAAGACAGTAATGCTGGGAAAAACAGAAGGCAGCAGGAAAAGAGGAAGACCAAGTATGAGATGGATTGACACCATGAAAGAAGCCATAGGCATAAGTCTACAGGAGCTGAGCGGGGCTGTTTAGGGCAGGACATTGTGACCATCACTCATTCATAGAGTCACCAGAAGTCAGAGTCCACTCAACATCATATGACAACAAGGAGTGCTTTTATTACCTGTGTTGTGGTTCTTTGTTATTGGCACTTTTTTGACATCATAATTCTATCAGTGTTGGCCCTTAGTTGAATACCCACCCCACCAGCAGTGTTCCATTGGGAATGAAAAGAAAATAATAGGAAGCTAAGGAAATGCAGGGAGCAGAGGTATATAGTGGTCAAGAATGAGCTTGCCTTAGAGGTATAATAGAATCTGTCAAAGCCTGGTTGTTCTAGAAGTGCTGTTAAAATTAAGTGACATTGAAGATGAAAGGACCTAAAATAAAAATAATGAAATCTTACCATTTGAGACAAAATGGATGGACCTAGAGGTATTATGCTAAGTGAAATAAGTCAGAGAAAGATAAATACCATATGATGTCATATAAATACTATATGATGTGGAATCTAAAGAACAAAATAAACGAACAAGCAAATCAGAAACAGACTCATAGATACAGAGAACACACTGATGGTTGCCAGATGGGAGGGGTTTGGGGGGCCTGGGTAAAAAAGGTAAAGGGATTAAGATGTACAAATTGGTAGTTACAATACAGTCATGGGGATGTGAATTATAGCATAGGGAATATAATCAGTAATATTGTAATAACTATGTACAGTGCCAGGTAGGTACTAGACTAATAAGGGGAAACATTTTATAAATTATATAAATGTCTAACCATTAGGCTGTACACCCGAAATTAATATAAAATAATATGGAATGTCAATTCCAATCGAAAAATAAAAATTGAAGAATTAAAATAAAATAAAATTATAAAAAAGAAAAAAAAAAGGATGAAAAGACCTAATCTCATGAGGAATTGGAGGCTGCAAACAACCAAGCAAGCAGCTTGCTTCATTAGCTGGCATTGGTTGCACTGTACTTCTCTTGGGACACCAGTGTCCTAGATACCCAAGAGGATGGAGGATGGAGGCCATGGCATCATATAGAGGTAGCCTTTCTTCTGTGTGGTATGATCGCCTTTACCCTCCACTCTTTTGGGTACCTAAGTATGGATACCTCTTGGATACCTCAGTATGGTGGTCACTTTCTTTCTGAAGTTTGGTATCATAATGGTGAATGTTCCCAGATACCAGGACATTGGGATAAATCCATTATCTTAAAGCTGAAATGCAAAAGGCCTGAGTTCAAATGCCCAAGGAAATTTGATCTTTGTTACTCCTTTCCTTAGGTTCATCCCTCTCTTCTAGACTCCATCAAAGAAACACTTCAGTATTATCCTTTCCCATCATAGGAAATCCTAATCTCACACTAACCTGGAGTTGGCATTGAAAGAAGTTGCCTTTCTAGTGCGTATCTCCTTCACATATAATTTAGCCACATGGGCTGAGTGTACTAAGTCAGAGGCTCAAAAGTGTAGATAAGAATCATCTAAGAGCTTGTTATAAATCCGTATCTCTGGAGATTCTAATTCAGGGTCCAGGAATCTGTACTTTCAAAACCTCCCCAAGTGTTTCTGATGTAGAACCAGGTAAGGAAATCACCATAACATGCATGGGGGCCCTACATTCTACCCCAGTCTTGAACATTGTTTTGAAAGGTGTGATTTTAGAAAGACAAAACAAGCACCATCAGACAAGTCGAAGGCCTTTGGCTTCCACCAAAGCAAACTCCACAGGCCTATCGATCATCTCTGTCTATCCCAAAGGCACCTCAAAATCTCTAACTTCTTAGTGAAGTTAGAGAATTTCTTAATGAATTTCTAAATTAAGTACAGCACAGGCCTAGTGGAAAAATCCTGGGGCAGTGCATGCTTCTCGTGTACCTACTGGTTAGGTCCTGTTCTTGGCACTGAGGCACAGTGAACAAGACTGACGAATTACCCAGCTTCTTAGAGGATATATCCCAATTGAGAGAATCAGGGAAGAAATAAGCATGCAAATAAATCAAGAAGATAATTCCTGAAACTAATAAGTACTGTGAGATGAAGAATGACTTCGGAGAGAGGTAACTCCTTTATACAGGGTCGTCAGGAAAGACCATCTTGCACACATGCCATGTAGCTGAGACATAATGGGTGAAAAGGAGTCAGCCTGTGGAAATCCAAGGAAGAAAGGAACTTGGCTTTAGGGAACAGAAGACTGGCATTTAGTGAACAAGCGGATTACTGGGATGGTGGCTAACTAAAATGGCTCTACTTTAAAAATTGATTTTGGAAATCCTTAAATTCCCTAATAAAATATCTCCAATTTTCAAGTATATTTTTATTTGATTTACTGTTTTCTTTCGTCGGGCTTTGAATTTGTTTATAATTTATGTGCAAGTTGTTTTCCTTCACTGAACATTATTGTAAGTGGTCCTTACGGTAAAAGCATGATTTGAACTGTGTGGGTGTTCTAAGGTAAAGTCAGTGATAATGTGGCCATCATACAAGTAAGTGGATTTCAGGTTATTTTGTTTTCCATGCTGAGTTTATAGCATTTGCTCTGCTGTTTTATATCATCAAGCAAGATCCAATAATTGCACTGATTTTATAAATCATTGAGATTATCTCATCACATAGTTATTATAGGCCAGAAAGAAGAGCTCACTTTCCAGTTTTTATAAAATTGCATTCATGATAATCTACTTCTGTACTCCAACGAAAGCAAAGATATCCTTAATGTTTGCATTCATTGTCTAGAGCCTCATTTTTATAAAATTTTGTAATTCTGGCAGCCAGATTATGCCACAGTTTTATGTCAGTAGCTAAAATCACTTAACTTGTAACCTATAGTCTACAGCCTGAATCAGTGTCTTGTTATTTATGTCATTGACATAGAGAAATGAAAAATAATTATCCTTGAATTTTCAGCTATGGCCAGGAATTGAAATGAAGGGGTCAAAAATAGAAGAAAGGCTAGGAAGGGGCAAGAAAGGTGAAGAAGATGCTCCAGAATGCCTTCCACTTCTTCCTCCAACCCCAGGCACCAGAATCCCATCTTCTCTAAGACACCAATATTTTAGATACTACTATTTTGAAGTGCCACTTTGATATAACATTTGCCAGATCCATACTAGGTTCCAGGAACTCTTCCATGCCCATTACAATATTAACACATTTAATTCTCACAATAGCCCAGTAAAGTAAGGTACTATTTACCGATACATTCATTCTGTGAACCTCTTAGTGTTCAGGAAACAGCCACATCTTGTTTATCATTTAACTGAAAAATTAGTTTAAAATATTAAACATCTATATGTATAGAAAACATAAAATATAAAAAATATTATAACATGGTGGTTGACAGCAAAAGCTTTGAATTTGGCAAATCTGAATTTAAACCCTGGATCATCCATGTTTACCAGTGACCTTGCCTAGCCACATAGCCTTTCTTTAGCTACACTATTTTCTTACCTGCATAATGGAGATAATATTTGTGTTTTTTTTGGTTTTTATTTTTGTTTTTTAGGATTTTGAAAGTAGTAAATGAAATAAAAAGTACTGAATAAGTGGTTTTTGAAAAGAGATTACATAGCTCTTTCGAGAATTTTGGTTTAAAAGAGAAGAAGAGAAAGTTAAATATCAACTCCCAGTGACCTTTTTTTACTCTGTTTTACAGGATTTTTTTTCATTTCATGATTAATTTATTCATTTTAACATTTGATATTAGAGTGTATCTTATTAAAAATACTTCGTTATAATTTAAATGTAATTATTTTTTTTCTTAGTGGTAATATAATTTTTTAATATAATGATATGTTTTTTAGTTGATAGATTTTTAGATTTAATGAACTAAGTTTTACGATACATATCAACAGTTTTTTCCTTCAGGAGACAGTAACATGTAGTAGTTACACATTCAGATTTCAGTTGTATATATATAATGTCAAATAAGTGAACCTTTTTTTTTGTCTCATCTCTTATCTGCAGAAGGAATTGTCTATTCCACAACATTATTAATATTAAATTAGGAAATGTGTATAAATTTCTTAGCAGTGTCTGATGCAGAATTGTTAAATGCAAAATAAAAATAGACATTATTGTTATTATTATCTTTATTTTCCCAGTTAATCTGTGAATTAATAGAGCTAGATACTAGAGCCAAATCTGCCACTAATTAACTTTGGAATCTGTCTCATTTTCCTGTTTTACAAAAGAATGTTTTGGCTAAGATGACCTCTAAATTACTTCTGGCTCTAACATTTTGTAATTTTATTATCTAATTCAGAGTCTTAACATAATATGACCATAAAATGAATTTCTTTGTTTCTTTCAGTTTGTGGGGACATCCATGGACAATTTTTTGACTTGATGAAGCTCTTCGAAGTGGGGGGATCTCCTGCCAACACTCGCTACCTCTTCTTAGGGGACTATGTGGACAGAGGGTACTTCAGCATCGAAGTAAGTCCACATCATTTCTTTTTAGCTGCTCAGTAATGGATCAACAGTACCTTAGTAACATAAAAGTGGTAAACATTAATGCCTTAAGGAGATCTCTAGTCTATAACAATGAACTTTAATACACTTAATTCTTGGGATATTACCTATCTTATTTTCAGTTGATTCCCATATGCTTTTTAATGTATAGAGATGATAAGGAAATGGCTAATAGTCTTTTCTACCTTTTATATATTTGCAACTTTGTAAAACTTCCATCGTATTTACATTAGAGAATTTCATTTCCTGTTGAGAACTAATCAAAGTTGATTGAATAAGCAGAAATGTGTTTGCATGGTTATACCTTATAATTATGAGACAATAAGTTATCTTTGTAAATTGATAGTCAAGTGCAAGTGTGTCTCTATCTGTGTGTGTGAGTGCTTTGTTTTGTCTTTTTTGATACCTGTCATCTAACTAGAGTAATTTGTCAGACTCATTAATTAAAACAAAACAGATAATCTTTGAGTAGAGCTTCTTCCTCAGCCTCTCATCTGCATCTGCTTCAGGTAAGTAGAAATTACATTCAAAATAAGGACAAGGATCTTGTTTTATTCACATGTTTGTTCTTCCTGGTGCTTAACATGTCATTGGTGTCATACATGGAAAGCGCTCATTAAAATTTATTAAAAGAAATGGTTGAAATAGGAACAAGTTTTAAAGAAACAGCTCATACTATAGTAGCTGACAGTGTAAGTGTTCTTGAAAGAAAAGCATTGAAAAGAAAAACAATTTTTCTTAAGAAAGAATTCAGATTTATGTCTTATGTCAATATCATTTATACATAATAGTCACATAGAAGAGATTCTAGGTTTTTAAATTTTCATCATAATATTTACTATAGGAACATTTAATGTTGAAAAATGTGTCATTCTTAAACAGCTTTTGTTTTTAAGACTATCATACTAACTTTATTTTTTGGTTATTCAGTTCACCTTGACTCATTGACTAAATATGTATATATAATAATATATTTCCACCAATATATTAATATTTTCTTCATTTAAAGATTACACATTTATTCATGATGATAAGGGAGGGAGGGGTGGTGTTGGTATATAAATCCATCCAAAAGGAGAAAGTTCATTTTTGGAATTTCTTCCATTTGGCAAACATATATTATCGAGCATATAAAATGTGTATGCACTATGATCCAGACTGTAGAGAATTCGAAGAAAAAAATGTCCTTGCTTTCTAGAAAACTAAATCTATGTAGGAAAATTTAACTACTAAAAAGCTGTCAGAAGCCTAAAATAGGTGGTCATCCAGGATTCAATTATTATTTGAACCAATTATTAAAATCTTGTGATAAAAGAACTACAGAAAATAATTGCCATTGGAATATAGAAAATTGAGAAAATATTAGGATCATACACGTGGCTGGGGAAGACTGAGTCAAAGAACAAATTAAATTTAGCCAGGTAGGAAGGAAATCAAAGCAAGAAGAGTACAGAAGAAGCAATTAGTAAACTTCATAAACCTCATTCATGGGCTGTCTTGACCAACTTGACAGGGAAATGTGATTGAGTACAAATTTTTAAGACCTTTGTATCACATTAGGCTAGTATCTGCCAAAAGTAAAGAGAAGGAAAAACCTACATAACAGTGTTTTGAGCAAGATAGAAGGTTTTTTTCTCCCTTGAGTAAAAGCCCACAGATGGGCAGACCAGGCTGATGTGGTAAGCATGGTGCCAGGGCCCAGGCTCTTTCTGCCTTGTTGCCCTGATGTGCATGGCCCCATTCCAAAAGGAAGCTCATGACCCAAGATAGCTACACTAGCTTCCCTACATTACATTCAGCTAGAGGAAATGGAGAAAGATAAGGGCCTGTCCCATCATTTAAGATGTTCTCCAGGAGAGGCACAATTACTTCAGCTTGCATCCCATGGTCCAGATTCCTTGATATGGCTACAGGTGATTTCAGTTTGTAGCCAAATTTAAGAAAGACTGCCATAGGCAGAAAACAGCAATGGGAGATAAAGAATTTCTGCTACTTCCCTTAAATTGGGGTTGTTTTGAGTCTAAATAAATATCTTTTAAATTTAATAACTCTAAAATTCATCTTTTTTTTTTAAACATTTATATGCTTCTATGAAAGGTTCTGAAGATAAATGAAACAGGTATTCTGCTTTCCTTGATACCCACCTTCTAAACAAGGGACGCCCATGACTGTCCTGTTGGAAGTGATTATTTTTATCAGCCAAATTATGGAGTGTTATGTTGGACACTTTTTTTTAATATCATAATTTTTGTGATTTTTAAGTTAATTTGACTTTTTATTTTACCTGATTAAAGACAATAGCAGTTTATTATTAATTTGGTAATAAAGATAAAGCACTAAATTATGTGTTGCTTGAGTAATACCTGGCACAGTAGACTTCTTTATCTCACCAATTCCATTTTTGAATAATATTTTTTGATCATATTGGTCTTTATTTACCTTTTTTTACTGGAACAGTTCAATCATCTGAATCTGTGGCCTCAACCCATTTGAAATTTCCTAAACTCATCCTAATTAGAGCTTTTTGAACTCTGTTTCTTTCAAGTAAAGAAGTTGAGAAGCAGTAATCACTGATTTGTTCCTCAGCACGTTTTTTTTTAAGTGTACAATTAATCTAGATATTTGAACTATGAAAGTTGTGATATTTTGTGTAATATACATCTTTTGAAATTCAAGCAAAGGTTCAAAGAATGAAACCAAATGTTGGTGACATATCAAATGTAGGTATTATAGGATATTTGAAAGTTCTGAAATGCATATATCAAAGTCCTCCTCATCAAAAAGAGCTCTTTAATAATTAAACTCCAAGAGTTTGAGAGTACAGCCCCAGGAACTTGCCACATCAATACAGAAATGACAAAAATGTGATGGCCTCATATGTAAAAATGATCCGTTAAAGTGTGACCTTCGAGGGACTCTGGGATGGCTCAGTGATTTTGTCATATTTAAAATAACACAGATATTTATATAAAATATATTTGCGGAGAATACTTTGAGGCTTTTTATTGTGGATTAAGGAAGCTGACATTGTTTGCATGCTGTAAATGCTATTGTTTGCAAAGTATAAACGATCTTATTTTTTCCTCACAGCTCTGCAGGGAACATGTAAATGTCTTTCTTTAATATCTGTGGAAACTTAAGCTCAGAGAGTCACACACATAGTGAATGGCAGTGAAGTTTGTGCTCTTTTCACTACACCCCATGCCTTGGCCATGTCTTTACTAAAAGAACCACTAAAAAATACACGCATCAGGCATGCAGAAACTGATAAACACTCTGTCATTCACTTAGGCATGTGCAAACACACACACACACACACACACACACACGCACGTACAATCCTCTCTCCACCGATATATTCTGAAGGCCGCAGCATTCAATATAAAATATTCTCGCTGAGTCCAATGCTGTTGGTTTAAGAAAAAAACTAAAAGAGTTCAGTTTTACAGCGTATACTATCCTAACAGGTTTCAAAAGGTTCTTGATTCATCTCAGTAATTCAGGGCACCACTCCGGGTATTCTCCTTTGGCTCTCCTCTGGGCAAAGAGGAGCACTTACGTTTAATTTTTACCAAATCAGCTTTGAAGAGTGGGTTCGGATTTCTTACAATCTGTGCTGGATCGTATTTACAGGCACTAGGTAATGTGCTCTGGGCAGTACATAGAGCTCATTTTCTGTTCTCGCTCCCTTCCTCTCCTCCCATCTTCTCTTTTTGCCAAGATTAGAAACCATTTCCTACAGAGTTAGCCCAAATAAAACAAGCAAGCTTTTGAGTAGTGATGAAAGAGGTAATTTTGTTTTGAGTAATAATTTGTGTCACACCAAATACCATCCTCTTTCTGATGATTGCATTATGCTACCTAATCTCTTTGATCAAGCATATGTGTATATATAGGTCCATATCTGAGTGTTTCTCTGAGAATGCAGGGAAAATAGAACTGCAAACAGAGGCATGCACAGCTGTTTCCTTCTATTCACTTCCTCAGGCTCCCTTTCTAGCCGTTTCACCTGGCATTGCCTAGAGCTTACATCAAGCTGCTCTTACTGCCCGCCCCCACCCCCAAACCGCCTGCTGTACTTACATCCAGATCTCAGCCCAGGCCTCAAAGACATTTAAGTACTAAGAGTTGTGTTTATTAGCTGTGAACTCCTAGACTAGAATGAACCACAGCAAGTCAAGCAATGTTCCAGTGCTTCTGCTTGAGAATAACAAGCAAACGGTACAGCAAGTGATGTTAGGTGACAGAGTATTGCCACAGGCACAAGGAAGAAAGTGTCTGGCTGTCTCCTTCACAGTGCACTGCTGTTCCACTGCTGCTTCTCTGCGTGCTTGTCAGACTAGGCAAATGATGTCTTAGAGGAGCTGCAGTTGACATTTCAGGAGTTTGGATCTTTTCCCAACCAATGCACATCCTTCACATAATTGTCTTATGATTGAGAGACAGCATATTTGATTGGAATGTGTCAACAGCACAGCTATTTTAGAGAGCTGATTGATATAATTTGAAGTTGTATATATTTTTTTACTTGCTTGCTTCGTGTTTTACATCCTTCTTTATTCCTCTATGCAAATGTTCAAGAATAGTCATCATTAAAAGGCATGCATTACAAATAAATCATTGCATTACTATTATCAATGAACCAATTAAACTAATAAATGATATCTTTAGTGTTGCTTCATACAAGACAGATTAAATAGGAGAAAGCTATGTTTATGATGAAAATTAATAAAAAAGGTAGAGGATGCTCAATCTTTCTATTGAGCAATCCAAACTAATTTTAAATTGTAAATATTTGTTTAATTATTTAGAATAAGACAAGAAAAACAGTCAAGGTCCAGTTGAAAGTGATTAGTGCAACTAATTTACATCTCGCCGTGCAAAAAAGGCCAATGTTACTTGCTTCTGTTTCTACCTTAACCATTTAACTCAGTAAAATTTTATTCAAATTAGCCATCTGATACCACATAGATGAAAATAATCAATTTTTTAGCTGATTTATATTTTATTGTTTAGTGATTGTGTTAATTTTTTTATTAAAAACGTTTCTTTTTAAAAATAATTTCAGGTTATGATTTTAAGATCTTCAGCTCTCCAGAACGTTAGAACTTTAGATGGCAAAGTAGTTGCCAGTAAGACAGTGTTGTGCTTGGCAGCTTTCTCCCACCAGATGTTGAGGGTGCAGCCTGGCAGGACTCCACTCTCCAATCCACCCTTGCCTTTTCATTTACCGTGCCACTTCTTCCATATTGGCTGCATTTGTGGTTTTATTCGGTGTTTGGGAAGATATTTTATTCTTGCCACAGGGGAGAAGGAAATAAAATGTGAAAACAAGATTCTTATTTTTAGGGTATTTTGAGCCAAGATTCTGGAAATTAAGTTTTGTTTTCTTTCTTCCTCTTTCTCTCTCTTTCTCTCTTTCTTTCTTTCTCTTTCTTTCTTTGTCTTTCTTTCTTTCTTTCTTTCTTTCTTTCTTTCTTTCTTCCTTCCTTTCTTCCTTCCTTCCTTCCTTCCTTCCTTCCTTCCTTCCTTCCTTCCTTCCTTCCTTCCTTCCTTCCTTCCTTCCTTCCTTCCTTCCTTCCTTCCTTATCTCTCTCTCTCTCTCTCTCTTTCTCTCTCTCTCTCTTTCTTTCTTTCTTTGTTTCTCTCTCTCTCTCTTTCTTTCTTGTCTTCCTTTCCTCCCTCCCTCTCTCCCTCCCTCTCTCCTTCCCTCCCTTTCTCCCTCCCTTCTTTCTGTGTTTCTATCTTCTCATTTACAGGAAAGGAACTAATATTTTCCAGACTCCTACTATACACTAGATGTTTTATATTCATTAACTAATAAGGGGCATTAAATGTGTATTGAATCACTTAAAAGGTTAATAAGTATGATAGGAACATCATAGAATATTTCTGTATCACTCTTTGAGGTTTCAGTTATGCAAGAGCCACAGTAATTAAGACTAGAAGTGGTAAAACCATGTGGTAATGTCAAAACAGGATCTGTCACAAATGACAAAAAAGAAAATATGGGCCATGTAATGTGATTCCTCTAGTAATATTTGAGTTTGTTAAAAAAAATTGCATTTTAGATTTTAGTTGGAGAGATAATAGCTTTGCTTTAAAAGAAATTGTTACTGGCAAAACTTATCTAAAGAGTTCAGAATCGTGGTTACATTTCCAAAAGAATATTGATTAGGAAGGCTCACAAAGGAGCCTTCTGTGTGCTGAAATGTAACTGGATTTGGGCAGTAGTTTCATGGGAGTATACATGTATAAAACAACTGAAAATATGTGCACTTCATTGTATATAATTTATACTTCATTGTATATAATTTATACTTTAGTAAAAACAAAACCTTTCTAAAATGTAGCTACAGTATAGCTAAAACATGTATTCTTTTCCCCAATGTATAAATGGAATACATTAAATAAAGCAATTTCAACAAGTAAATATAATTTTAAAGACTTTATATGCCCATTTCTATTCAAAATTTGACACCCAAATTTAACAATTTAGAAGTGTGCGTGTGTGTAAATATAAATAAATATTTATATATAAGTATATTCATACATGTGTATTCTTTCACCTTAAGGTACAGCCTTATAAATTTTAAATTGGAAATAGTTCTCTTATTGACATTAGTAACAGTTTATAAATATCTTCTTTCAAATGTGAGATGAGTTTGATTCTTTTTATGAAAACATGTAAGTGCTCCTGTAAAACCGAATACATAGTGATCAGAGTCTCATTGAGCCACCGTATTACCCACTGAGGTAACAGGGAACTTTTACACATATCTATAGATCATGATGCTTCCAGAGTCACTTGGATAAGCCACTTGATCAGCTTCTCAGAAACAGTAATATCATCTGTCACATGAACTTTAGGTAATAATTATAATCAGAAAATGGTAATTAGAAAAATTAATTGAAGTAACTATATATATAATTAGATGTCAGCCCCTTATTTTTGTTTACTTGAATCATAATTACATAGTTAGAGACAATATCTTGCTTGAAAAACACAAGAATACATACTTTTTTCTGATAATAAGTATTTTCTCCAAAACTTGGGCTATATATATTCAAACATAGTTATATCCACTCATTTAATAAATTGTCACACAAGTTGACAGACATGATTATTCACAGGTAGCACAACAAATGAATCGCCAGTAGCTTTTCCCTATGGACATTATCCAGCATATTTACTATATGTTGGAAAGCTCTTTATTAAAATGTAAATATTGTGTGTTTTTTTGGTTTCAGATTTTAGCAACCACAATAAGACTTATCTCAATATTTTTATGGTTCTATATTTTCTTAGCTTCACTTTTAGAACATAAATTTAATTAGGATAGAAAAGCATCCTTGTTTTCAAAGAGTGGTTTACTGTTCCCTGTGGGTTCTTAATGAATGCCAGTCAAGGATAATGAAATTGATGTTAATAATTGAGTATCCAGTTATCTTCATGCACACTTCAAGACTGTGTTAAACATAGGTTTACTCCAAACCTGGTGAATTCATAGCCGGCCCTCATGTTCATGCAAACTTAATACCCAAGTAACTAATTTGGAAGTTTTAAGGTATGTGAAATATTTCCCCAAGCTATTGGCCACATATGTACTAAGATTTCCCTACCCTTCAGTTTAATTATATTTACATATAAAAAAATAAGGCTTTATATACCAACAGCACTGAAATAAAAATCAAGGTAATGGGGGAGAAGGCTAGTGAAGGAAAGAACATAATATAAAATACAGACATAATCCGAGTTAGCCTGAGCTTGTCAGTGTTTGCTTCCAAATTTTGTCTTGCTTTTCCTCTGATTTAAAAAAAATAATTAGTTTTATAGAGAAGTATCCTTCTTTTATTTACTAATTGCTAATCACATTTCCTGTCATACTTTTACACCAGTGTATTTTCATTTTTAGTGTATTTTCATTCAGGTTTCTTCCAATAGCTTGTGTGCAGTTCATGGTTTTCCTGTAGTGGATAGATACTTAGTGAATGTATGTATTTCAGGTATACATGAACCTTGGCTTTGTACCCCAATAATGTTTTCTGTGTTTCAGTTCCTCCTTAATGAGGTCTAGCCTTTTGGGGACTTTTGGTCACACTAGCACATTCGGTTCACGTCTTTTTGATATGTCAGCAATGGGATGCTTTAGTATAATAGAAAAATATTTATTTTTATATTCTTATTTTGTTTTCTCAGTGTGTGCTGTATTTGTGGGCCTTGAAAATTCTTTACCCCAAAACACTGTTTTTACTCCGTGGAAATCATGAATGTAGACATCTAACAGAGTATTTCACATTTAAACAAGAATGTAAGTATATTTCAGACCTATTCCTTTGACACCATAAGTGCTAAATAATATTTTTAATCCATATTAAGAGCACATTACAATATGATCTATTGCTTCAAAGTCAAAATTTTTTTTTAAAAATCACACTATTTTATGTCATACCATATTTCTTTCTAAGCATGCTTAACTATTCATGATAGTTATAAATTGTCTATAAAATTATCTAAAAATTTGAATTAATATTTGATATAATTTATCCTAAGAAACTCTGATTACGTTACCTTTTGAAATAGCCAGAATGCTACTGTTTGGGATATAGTCCTTCCCTTTAATTTTAAATCATTCAAGAAAAGCAAATGGAGGGCTGATTCAACCTCATGCTTCTCATTTTGGACCCAGTAGATTTACTAGCTTCTAGTGGATTTTACAAAATTAAAGGTGACACATTCCTTTACATATAAATACTAGGAGTGAGGAGTACTTCATATAGATTTTGTTTTCCTCTTCTCTTAATTTTCTCCATCGTCCAGTGAAACAAAATTGTCCCAGTCATTTAGTCCTATATTCAGTGAAGCATAGTGACTTCAAAGCATTAGCTATAAGTCAATAAGAGAAAAGCAATGTGCAGTGATACAGAAAGAACTTTAGAGAATTTTTGCCCTCCGCTTTTCTGTAAGATCATTCAGGAAAATCAGCTTTATCACTATTCTTCTATTGGTCTCTGAGTTATTTGTGTATATTTTTTTGAGATACATCTCCAGATAAATAGCAAAGATGGATACAGAGTTCTCTCTTCTGCTATTTAAAAATTTAAAACCTGAAAAATATAGATGAACAACAACAAAAAATAGTAGATAGGTTAATGTATAACTCTTTAAAAAGTTTTATTTAATCATGTTTTGGAACTTTGCAAGAAAACATTAAAAAAAACTATTTCAATGACAAATGATCCTAGCTATGAAGTAATGAGAGTAAATTTTTTTTTTTTAATAATGTTTTAAAAGGTAAAATAAAATATTCAGAACGTGTCTATGACGCCTGTATGGACGCCTTTGACTGCCTGCCTCTGGCTGCCCTGATGAACCAGCAGTTCCTGTGTGTACACGGTGGTCTGTCTCCAGAGATTAACACCTTAGATGATATCAGAAAAGTAAGTTCTGTTATTTTCCAAGTCTAATCATTCCATATACTTCAGTAATAAATAGAAGACATTCATTACTTTGCCTTTATCACTCACTTTATCCTTTTGAATCAAAACGATTTTTAAAGTGATCATGAATCTCTCTTTTGTATTCGTTATCTAGAAAGAAAGATACTTGGAAGTTTTCATCTCTAAAATTTCATCTTACCATAGAACATGTCATTGGAAATGTAAAATATTTGATCACTAAAAAAAATTATGCTGTTTCATTTCCCTTTGGTTTCTTTCAAATAGAACACATTGTGTATTCATGGTATATTATAGTTAGAAATGTTGCTTTGCTCTTGGGAAAATATCATTTGACCTTTAAAATGTTCCAATATTATTATTTTTTGAAATCTATTTTTTAAGGCTTAAAACTTTAAAGTAACAATCTAATAAAGGCAATGAGGATATTCCGTTGATCAGATTGAGTGGCTAGGTGAATAAGTCAGTTTTTTCCAGAGGTATTTTTTTCTACTTAATTTAATATTAACTGTTACTGTTATTTAACCAACAAAAAGATGAGTTAAATTGAATGTGGAAGTATCTTTTTATAAGAAAATGTAATAATATGGGATAGTTTTATGTAATAGAAAAGACGATCTTTTATTTCTTTGGGTTACGCTCAATATTCTTTTAAAAGTTCATTGTTTTTCAAGAAAAACTATATTTAGGGAAGTAAAACATTTAAATTCTACCTTAGTACTCTATCATTAAGTTTCAGGTCTTCAAGTGTAAAAATAATATTGTATTTACTTTTCTATTAGAAAGTACATGCATAATTTTTATTTTTAAAATCAGAAACCTTTGTTTTCTACTTTATGTTTCTGTGTCCTTTTTTAAGACACCATTCCATATCTGCTTCTGGTATTTTGTGCCACACAGAGCATTCATATTTGCTCTATATTTAAAGTACTATAGAGACAGGACACTAAAATTCAGTCATGAAGTTCAAGTATAAAGTGGTTCATTTTCTGCATGAATGTAACCAATGTATACTTCTACAATCTGAGGGACTCTTGAAATAAATAATTACCTTCTTATCATAAATTAAGTAGATCTTAGAAATATCACCTGCTGTCCCCAGAACTGGCATGTTTCAGATATTATATTCAATTTTCGTATACACCATTAAGCTCTAGACTTAGTCATAACATAATTTTTAGGTTTGCATTTTGCCATCTGTCAATAAGAGTTTCCACCACACTTACTTTATTTAATGCATTTTTAGTTGTTTATTCTTACCGAAGATGATATTAATTTTAGGACGCAGTTTGTTACTTTTCCAGAATAAATTCAGTATTCTGGTTGCCTTACCCTTTAGCGTGGAATTCATATTAATCAGAAAGTCTTCTCTCCTCTGCTGTTCTACCTATAATAATCATTTCTTGTTTCTTAGAAAAAAAAATCTGTATTTTTATGGACATTTATTATTTTTCTTGGCTGAATTCTAAAAGCATAAATTATTTAAATCTCTTTAAAACGTCTTAAGTTTGCAATGAATATTTTATGAATAACATAATGGCTGAAATATAGAGGGTCTTGTCTTATTGAAGTTTTTCGTTGGGCATTGAAAATGTGATATATTATTTCATTCTTTTTAGATATTATTAAAATATGGTGTGTAATCAAACTGTGATTTACATCACCTTTTATGTCTCGGGAAAAAGAGAGAATTTGATGGGCTGTCAGTCTTACATCTTCACCTATCCACCTGTCCCTATGGGTTTTTTAAAAACATTAAAATACTGATTATGAAGAATCACTTTTTAATAGGTTTTTCAGACCTGTTTTATGCTTTTCTTTTCAAGAGAATATGAAATCTGCTAACTTCACCAAAGATCTTTTAATTGCAGTTAAATCAGGTTAAACTAAAGGAAAGCGACAGTGTTATAAAAAATTGTTGGTGAAATATCATTTGCAGTTATATTACTCGCACCTTCTAAATGCACCTTTTAAAATTGAAATATGACTTTGCTAAACATTTATAGCTGGAAAATAGATTCCATACTGGGATTCAGGTAAAACTATAAAACTTAGAACTGTGAGCTGAAGAATGATGAGCTAAATTTGGATTTATTTGACTGTTTATCATTACTCTTGGTTTATACCCAGTAAGATAAACTATAATAAACTTGTACTTTAATTAGAAACTTAGAATAGCCCCTAATGAGTGAGTATCCAAAATGTCATATAGCAGGTGCTACTCTTAAAATGAAAGCCGTCTGTTCTCAAAATCATATTGTTAAATAAAAACACCATAAGTTGTTCTCATCTAGATTTCTAAATCAGAATTTAATGGAAGCTGTAATAGAAATTTCCCCAAAGATAAAGTAAAAGCTCCTCCTCAAGAAGTGAAACACAGAGTCCCATCAACTGGTAATGATTAAAATACTTAGGTAGTTAAGTTAGGAGGAAAAGAGAAAGATAAAAAGGAAAACAGGAGAAAGGAGAAAAGGAGTAAAGAGGAGGAATTGGAAAGGCAAGAGGGAGGAAAAGGGTGAGATGAAGGCAGATAACAAATGAACTCATCAAGAGAAAGAAATAAGGAAAATTGGAGAGAGCAGAAGAGTAGACCGGGGAGGGAGAGAGGAGGAAGGGGAGCAGACAGGAAGAGAGTGAGGTAGAAGGCAGCTCAGGCTGTACTGTGGTTGAGGAGAGGAACTTGGGTGTTGCAAAATTCTGTTTGTTGTTTTTTTTTCCCTGAATTTCTAGTTTCCAAAGATTAGTATTTTGCTCTCTGTCTTCTATTTTTCTTAGTTAGACCGATTCAAAGAACCACCTGCTTATGGACCTATGTGCGATATCTTGTGGTCAGACCCCCTGGAGGACTTTGGCAATGAGAAGACTCAGGAACATTTTACTCACAACACAGTCAGGGGATGTTCGTACTTCTACAGGTGAGGATGGAGTGCTCGCCTTCCAGGACACGATTGGTTCATAAATACTGTAATTTATCAGTTCATGTGTTTGATTTATTTATGATATTTGTATAATTTCTCTATGAAACAAGTATAAATGAAGGTTCATTTTAAAGGCCTGATTCAAATGGGTTCTTAGCATTTGAAAAATGAAAATATAAATTAATAAGTAAGTAAATAAATAAATAAATAATATGCCAATATAAATACATAGATTAAAAAAAAAAAAAGGTATAAAAGAGACATGTAGTGTCAGGGTAGCGAAGCATCTAAAGAAGATAGTAGGATTTAGTAGAAAATTTGTTCTGTTCCAAGAACTGTAGGAAAAAATCCACTGCCAGCTTTGATTCTTTTCATTTGATTATGTAATAACTTTACATTTTTTACCAGTTTTCATAACTTAAATCAGAAAAAAAACAATTTTAAATTGGCTAATTAACTTATATTTAAGATATTCTTAAATTCCTTTGTTTATCAGAGTTCCTGGAAAATTAAAATGAACAACTTAGTATATAGGTACCATAGTAAATTTATTTTTAGCATAGTGACAAACCACATTGAAAGCTTTTTATAGTAATTTTTATGTTTGCCAGTGAATGGGGATTTGCCCATTCCATCACATTTCAGAGCACTTCAGAAAGAAATCAGCAACACAGTTGGGTTTTCGCGAGTCCTCACAATATTTCTGACATCTCACATCGATTTTAGCCTACGTGTTTGATTACCTTCAGTTTCATAGGTTCCCTTACAGTCATACAGTTTATATGAAAAGGGGGAAAAGATCATGGAGAAATTGAGAATTTTAAATTCTAGAATATATAGTCTTAAAAAAGAAAAGGAAAGAAAAAACAGACCAAAAAAACCCAAACCTTAAAAAACAAACCTGATGTTCACTGAAGTTTATGCTCAATTCTGGCCCTGACAGCTAAGCAAATGGCAAGGCTCGAAGAACTCTGTGAAATGTATTCAGCCACATATCTTCTCTCTTTAGAGTAAGCAGATATCATCCTTATGTGTAACATTGATCAGAGTTTATTCAACAGTGGAACATTTAGTTTTCTTTATGGGGGAGAGGAATAATCTCCTTTTATTCATCTGTTGATGTGATTAGGAAATTGAAGTTAGTGAACAGAAAGTCTTATATGCTGTAAAGCACCATTCAAAGGATAGTTTTTGTTATAAATATTAATAAGTAGGCTTGTTGCAAGCTTATTTATCAGAAAGTTTACAGTTCATTTCTTTGTTTTGAAAATTGGGGAACCAAGTCTAATGAGTCTATTTTGGCTGAAATGCAGAAGCATGATATAGTACCTCCAAAAAGACTAAGGTTTCTTTTCAGTAATTACGTAATTTGGGAGTAATCTTTTATTAAAGATGTTCAAACTTTTAGTGAAAAGTTAGGTATTGTTGAAATATCAAAGCCAAATGTTCAATTTTCAAATCTGGTGTTAAATCCCTAATTATACCATGAGTGTTTAAATTACCTGATACCACTGAGTCGTGCTTCAATAATATAATAAACCAAATCCAAGCCTCTTGGTTCTGATATTGAGCCATTATTAGATTAATCTTTCTTTAATTCACAGTATAAAGTTCTGTTAGTTTTCTGAGTCAGCTGTTCAGATAAATCATACTCTAAATAAAGTCTTGTACTGAACTTACATAAAGTTATGATATTTTTCTTTTGTGAATATAGACACAGATGTGTTTACATCAGAGATAAAGGCCATCAACTCGATAATTAGAAGATTATGCGTGTTTTCACACTTTTGTTCTCAACAAAATGATTATTTAACTCCTCTCATTAGAGGTTGTTAATAGATAATGATCTTTACCCATGACACATGCTGAATATCTAAATCCACAGCTATATTCTAAGGGCAAAGCAGTCTGTATTATGTTTTATCTAAGGAAGAGAATATGACTCTTTTTATTCTCCTAGAGCTTTTAGATCCTTTGTTTTTAGTGCCATCTTGAAGGTGTCAAGGCGTTCTCTTCTTTGTGGTTTATAAAGCTGACCTGGAGTGGCACAAAGGAACAAGAAAATGGGTACAGAAACTTAGTGACAATTACCTGTTTGAATTACTGTCACTTATTTTGATCCACAACTCCCAGTTATAGTTTACATGTTTATATTAAATTTGCATATTAATTTCCTTGACATCTTAAGCACGATCTAATGTATTGCCTGGGCTATGATTTAAATAAAATTAAGTTATACAGAAAAATGCATCAGTAAGAATGTATTAATGATGTTCATGAGTTATAGAAAATGGGCAATGTGACAGGAAAGAATCCATAAGAATACTATTTTGGCTCAAGTGCTAGCATTATCTTTACAACCTCAGACTAGAGTTTGCATACACAAATGCATATAATTTTGAAGCAGTTGTGATACTTGAAGCAGACAAAATGTTAGATAATAAAGATTAATGAGGATCATGAGAAATTGGAGGTAAATTTTTCATTTTCATGTAGTCTAAACAAAAACTATCAGCTGGATTAGATGTTTGGGTTGTCAGTTTGTACTTCTGCCTTGGATGAATCATGTTAAGCTTTACGTTCTAGATTTAGCTTCTTCAAAAGAAGTGAGTTAAATCAGACATCTAAAGTTCCTCTAAGCTATGAGATTGGAGGAACATCTTAACAGTCATTTTAAATGTGTTTTTGAAGTTGCAAATTGAAGCTCACTCAAATAATTACTGGTCTCAATCACAGATCAGCAGCCTTTCTTCTATTCATAGGCTGCCCCACTTCTCTTCTGCAAGTGACTCTCACCAACCCCTTCCACCTGGAAATCCTCTGGTTCCTCCTTTTTCATGTATCGGGATCCTCCTGAGACTTATCAGAAAGATCCCTGCCTCTTCTGCTTTCTCTTTCTTGGCTCTCCTCCTGTTTCTGACATTGTGTTCTTTACATTTTCCAAGGAACCGCAACTATTCCCTTAGCTTCGCTGTAAACTGTTAACCTCTGCGGTTTGATTACAGATCTACCTCTAGCCCCTTCATCTCTTTATCTTTCCTGAGCTCGAATTCTCTCTTTCTAGTTGTGTGCTGGAATTTTTTATCTAAGATGTTCCATTGTCACCTTAACCTAAATTCACCTTGCCTGAATAAAGCTTATTATTTACTCTCCCATCTGCTTAATCCTCACTAGAAATTTCTCCTGGTTTTTCTGTTTCTATTAACAGTTCATTCTTCCAGTCATGTAGACTAGCAAATATCTTTCCTTTTTCTTCTTGCATTGCAATCACCACCCGTCGGCCATCTCATCTTATTGACCCTTTCTTTATAATATCACCAGCATCTAGACCATCCTGCCTTCCCTTCCTCTCACTCTTAAGTTCAAGACTTTCATTCTTGGTCTGTTGAAATCATACCTGATTGCACAGCATCCTTCTCACCTCTCTCCTCAATTCATATTGTTCCATTCATGGGTATCCTTTTGAATTCATTTACTCATTCAATTTTTAACAGACATTAACTGAGCATATACTATATATACGCTTTCTGTGAGGTTTTATAGATACTCAGAGTCTCTGCCTTCAAGGAAATAACAGTCTAGTGACAGTGACCAGTAAGCAGAAATTGACAAAACACAAGGTGTTTAGTGCTGTGATAAATGTAGAGGTTTCTCTCTCTCTCTCTCTCTCTCTCTCTCGTCTCTGAGAAGGATGTCTTTATCGCCATTCCAACCTCTCTCTCTCTCTCTCTCTCTCTCTCTCTCTCTCTCACTCACACACACACACACACACACACACACACACACACACACACAGCTGAAGGACTTAACTCTAATAGGGATGAATCAGAGTGTAAGGGACTACTCATAGTGGAAGTGTTGTTAGACTTGAATTTTAAAGGATGAGTAGAATATATCCAACCAGTCATTGGAGAAGGCTCTTGCAGGCAAGGAAATGGCATTTATGAAAATATGAGGGGAGATAACACTGAGAATTCTGGAAAGATGACCATGCAAATGGTCTCATTTTACTTCTAATCCTAGATTACAGTTAGCAACTTCAGTATACTCTAAAGCTGAACATTCATATAACTAAGCTGCTCTGCTCCTATTTCTATATCCACTAGAAATGTGTACAAATGTGTACTGAAAGACATATACGAGATTGTTCACAGCAGCGGTATTCATAATATCCAAGAAATGGAAACAACCCAAATATCCAACTAGTAGAATGAATAATAAATTATAGTATATTTGTACAACTAAACACAGCAAATGAGAATGATTTAACAAAAACTGCACATAACAACATGGATGAATGTCACAAGTATGATGATGAACAGAAGAAGCCAGAAACAAAGAGTATCTGATTCCATTGAAATAAGAGTTCAGTGTTAGAGAAGCTAATCTATAGTTAGAAGCCAGGATGGTGGTTTCCCTTAGGAGGTGATAGTGACTCGGAGGAGATATGAAGACTTTTGGGGGGTTTAGGTAACATTCTGTATCTTGATCTGATTGTTAATTACAGGGTACTCACTTTGTGAAAGGTCATCGATTTTTAATCTTATGATTTGTGCAGCTTCTGTATAGACGTTCCACTTCAGTGAAAAGTGTCCCTTAAATAAAAATTGGCCCCGCCCTTGTGGCAGCCGGCAGCCAGGTGCAAGTGAAAACTTAAGCTCTGGTAAAGTTCTGGCAGGAAGAGTTAGAGCCCTATCAGACTTGATCTGTGCTGGGTAAAATGAAATTAATTGAAGAACCCTGGGGCAAAGAAAAAAATACAGCAAGTCCTCGGAACAGAAAAGCCTGACAGTATCTGGGCCAAGCCAGGACACCCCAGGGCTGAGTTCCCATTGCCAGGCCCCAGGAAGCAGAGGGGGAGCTGAGCATTGGGCAGAGTCCTCTGTACCACTGGACTGCGAGAGGAGAGGGTGGAGGCTTCCTCTGGGTCCCTTGACCAGGAATTGCAAGCTCCCTGCTTCTGTTTTGCTGAAGCTGATGAGAGAAAGAAACCCTTGGCATCTCTTACCTGCTTAATTGCCCCTGTTGAGGCTACTCCAGCAATTGAATTTGAGCTTCAATAAGCTGGCAAATGGCTGATAAAAGTTTAGAGTGTGAAGACAAAACAGTGTTCACCTCTTAAGGCATATATTATTACTGGAGAGCAGAGGTATAAACAATTTGCACTACAACATGACAGGTGATGTATTGGATTCATATGTTACGGGAACATGGTGGATGAAGCAAATGTGTACACTTAAAGGTGAGGTAGGTTTGAAGGGAAAGGTTTACAGGTGATAATTTAGCTAAGTCTTGGCAGAAGAGTAGGCCTTTCTGGAAGGAAACGATACTCAGAGAAAGTGTGTAAGGGCATAAAAGCATAAAAACGTATTTTGATAATGCCCTGGCTATATCGTGATGAAAGAGCCTGAAATCTGAGAGATGCAAATCTAAGTCCAAAATATAGTTTAATATTGCAAGAAACAAAAATAAGAGAATAAACAGAATGTGCCTGATAACAGGTGTTTTCTTTAGTGCCAAGCCAGTTTTTCCACCATTTCTCATTTTTGTCTTTTCTACCTTCTTTACCTTTGTTCATGCTCGGTCCACTTCCTGTCCCTCTCCCTGTCTTTGTGGCATTCTAACCCCTTCCTAGCTAGTAATCCCTGCACACCATTGCCTCTAAGATATAACACAACTAACAACTAATAAACACAGCGGTTACTTACAGAATCCGGGGTTACTGATTCACCATTCTGTGCTGCATTCTTTCTTCCACTCCATGGTGGAGAGAAAATTAAGATTTGTGAAGTGTCTACTATTGAGTCAGGCACTGGACTAGGAAATTTACATACAATGCTAACTTTTTAAATCTTTATCTCAAGCCTATGAAATAAATAATACTTGTCTGCATTTCTACAAATTAGGTAATGTATTCATATGAGGTTAAACAAAGAATTTAAACAATTTTCCAAAGTTTACACAGGAAATTGAAATAAGGATCCAGATCCAAGGATCTCCATTATTCTATTGAAATTTTCACCTTCCTTTCTATGCAGAGAAGATGTATTCTCTAGTGCTTAAGGAATAATTATGTTCCAATAAAAAACATTTTCAAAGAATAACAGCCTCTTCCCCAAACACAGCAACACATGCTGGTAAGTTGCAAAGCTGAAAGCATCCCGGGCTTTCACCAGTTTTTGCAGCAAGTCTGATTTAAGACATGTCACGCCACTGGGTTAAACAAAACCATTCCAAGGTTGCCCCATACAGACAAGGGTACTTGACAAGGGTGCCCATGGAGACTGTGAGTAGAGTTGAGATCCAGCCTCTGCTCAGAAGGCCATGGGCCAGGATTTGGAAAGATCAGCCTAGAAGAAGAGGGGCTCTTTGTCCCTGGCGGGCATAGAACACAGAAGCTTTACCTTATTCGTGCAACGAAGAGGGAAAAAAATCTTAAGCGAGATAGATGTTTTGCAAAAATATTTCCTCAGACCCATATGCCTTCTTTCTTGCTTTATTTTGTCTCAAGAAAACTTGTACTATTTTATCTTAAATCTGTTTTATTCTTAAGTAGTTTTTTTAATTAAATATTTTACTTTTCTACCTAGAATATAAACACCCTCAAGACAGTAACCACACCTTACACTTACCATAGCACCCATCCCTGTGCCTAATACAGTCTTCCAGCAAATGGAACAGATCCACCAGTGAGCCTTTGATAAATTACTGATGAATAAATAATTTTAAACTCGCTCCATGGCGGTAAAGTGTTGTGAACTGTTCTTTTTCTGCCATTCTACATATATCTTTTTTAACCCTTCTCGGCTTAAACACTTTTTGGCTTATCATTTCCAATAAAAATCATAAAAAGTATTATAGTTTTTTCCCCTAATATAATTTAAAACTTTAATGTAGCCTACACAGGTAGTTTACCAGTGATGGGAGTCTAGTTGATATTCAAGTATTTTCTAAATTTATATAGAAAAATGTTTGTAATTCTTAGAAAGTTTGAGTATTGACTTATGTATTCTTTTACATTTCTAAAGATTTCTTCAAAATCTGTTTCCTTCAAGAAATAATGCAAGTGTTCCACTTGATGCTGTTAACCTAGCAGAATGCTGCTAGGTTAATTTTATTATATTCAGATTTCCATTAAAAATCAGATCTATATTTCCATGGAGGAAAACTTAGCTTAAACATAAAGGTATCAAACTTAGCATGAAGAAAATATATTAAAATTATGTTCTCATGAGGCTAGTATAAGTTCTTTCTAAAGGACAAAAAAATTTAAAGAGCAGCCAAGCCATTTTCCCAAGAGTAAAAGAGTGACAAACCTAGACAAGTAACCTCTGCCTTACAGTGTAACAGCAAGGCAAGAAAGTCTTTTTAAAGAAACATTATGAGGGCACAAGAAATTATAAGTGACTGAAAGAGATAGGGGAGGAACATTTAGAATGTGTGTTCTAGAGAACACATACACATAGTGTACACACACACACATACCACACGCAAATGTGCATGCACGCACAAAGACTTTTTAATTTCAGATCTCACTTTTGCCAGAGAGCTGAATCCTTTTCACGATCAGTATTTCTAAAATGGTATGGAATCTTATTGGTATTTTTTTCCTGTTGATCAGCTAAGTCTTACAAAATCTATAGCATAGAAACTATTTTCAACCCTTACAGTAAATTTTTCGAGTGGTATATACTATTAAGTATTTCCCCAAAGTGCTATTTTTATAATTACTGAATTGTTTCCTGTGGTGTATGTAGTTAAGGTTCGTGGATATCTGCAGTTTGTTTAAAGCAAGCATGGGTTTGCTGTCTCTTTCTTTTGAAATATCTAAAACTTATTTATTTTTATGACATACATTTATCTCATTAAAAATTCTTAGAACAGAGACAAAGTGATTGCAAAGGGTTTTTCGAGTTTAATTTGTAATTTGAATTTTATTTTTAATGAAGTTTTCATCTTAGGTTTCGAGACTTTCTTAACAGACAGTATCATCTTGATTGAATTTTGATATTTTTATTGTCAAGATAAAAACATGTTAAGATAAAGTTCTGTTGATCATATTTGAGGTACACATTTTAAAACTTTGTAGATTCCATAATTCTCTTTAGGTTTTAAATAGTACAATCAGTTAATGTACCCATAAGTAAGTTGATAACTTGATTTCCCAGAAGACATCATCTCACTCACTCTCTGACTCAGTCCTCTCTGTCAAGCCCTCAGGCTCCCACACCCACCCAAATACAAATAGTGCTTGCTGTATTTGAAAAACTGAGGTCTACGTTTTAAATTCTATCCTCATGTTATATTTATGCTTCTGTTCACTTT